CTTGCACTCTAAACCAAACAAACGCTCTTTAACCAGCTTGCTTTCCTTTACCATGGGTGTATTATGGATGCCAATGTTGTTGACAAATTGAGGGCACATATATATGCATGTTTGGTGCTATATATAGGTTCAGGTGATCAACCATTTTGCTGCGAAGGGTTTGCTTGATAGTCAACCATGTCGGCCAGCACCCTTCCCAGTCGCACCTGGTCGTGCGGCACGTTGGAGAATGGGGGCAACGCCTGCAAAGTCATTGCGGGGTTGAAGCTTGATGGACATGACTTGCCAACCGCCTTGAAGGACTTTGGTTTGTTTTTTGTTGTGGAATGATTTGAGCGTTCCAGAAACGCATCATCCGCTTTCAGGATGCGAGGGCCTTGCTTGAGGCTCTCAAGGCAAAGAAAAAGGGTGAACCAAGCATTGTGAAGGTCAAAAGGGAACCAGGGACAGAACCAGCCCCTTGACCGCCAAAGAACAAAGACACCGCAAACAGTTCAATCATGTTTTCACGGTTTTACTCGACCTGCGCTGAGGCTGCAAGCCCCGCTGGAACAACTTCATCGGCTACTCGATCATCGGCTACTCCAACAACGGAAGACGACACCCAGCCAGCGGCCCCTTGTATAGAATAAGTTCATTTGGATTCCAAACTCGTTGGCCACGCCTGACCTCCCATGCAAGCCAACAGACCTATAGCTTTTCAAGGTGGCCTTGTTGCCCTTCAACAGGCTTATAAAACGATAGAAAAGGACACCATGCCTTAATTTCAGAGTTTGTTGGTCTCTCAATGTTTGGTTGCCAAAGGACACCTTCTTTCATCCAAGAAATATGCAGTTTGCGTCCAATGTTGTTGAACACTAAGTCTGCCTCCGAGCTTGCTGCATACACTTCATCCAACTTGACATCAAGAGAGTCTTGGCACCGTTTCCATTCACACTGGGAGTCTATCTTCTTCCATGTGTTCTTATCCAAGTCATTCCAAGTCCAGTTGTCATGACTGAACGGCATGCATGTAATTTCGATTGTGACAGTGGCAGCCTGAATGCAAAGAGCCTTTGTATCTAATGCCCAAAGTTTCAACTTGACAAGTATGTTGTTGTATAATGTTGTATACAGCCTTGGTCCTGACACTGAAGGATGGAACCCCACCATCTACGCCCACGACACCGGGTGACCATGAGGACCGTGCGCTACTCAAGAAGGCTTGTGATAAAATTCAAGACTTGGAACGTCAGTTGGAAGGGTTGAAAATCAGTGCGGGGAAGAACACTGAGACCTCTCCCCACCCGACTCCCGTGGAGCCTGGAACACCTGCAGCTTTGGATTCCAATGGTGCTCCTGGCTCGGCATCCGGGAAGCAGCCAGACGCTCCCGACGATTGTATTGTCACGCCCGACGGCAAAGCAGCTTCTCAGTCTTGATCATGTTTAAGCGGAACTGAACATGTTTCCTGTGTGTGTCAAAGCGTGTTTAACCTTGCTCAAGCAAACCCATGTGGATGTGCAACCCTCTAACATCAAGGTTCTTGGGCACGATGCCCTACGTATGAGATTGCGCAGGATGGTGGAAACTAAGCCGAGTGGCAAGTGCCACGTGGACGAGAGCGTGCGTCTAGACTATGCCCACCATGAAAAAACGAGAGTGGCTCGAAATCGCGCTGTTGGACGCGATTAAGAAATGGGGAACGGACCGAAAGCAGTTCAAGAAGATCAGGGTGGGGATTGCAAAGAAAACACATGGGTTAACCCTCGGCGTCATTGAAAAGAAAACAACTGAGTCGCACGATGTCAACATGACACTTTTTGGGTATAGTCCTTGGGGTTATATATAGTCTGTCGACCTGCGCGCACGGCCCTGCCAGACAGAGTTTTTGACCCGAGTGGTGGTGGTTCGCGAGCGTATGAGCCTTCGTGAGCAAGAAGTACATGGCACGTGGATGACAGAGGCCAAGCTGCTGAAGACCTACACACCGACTCTTGGTTGCGATGCATTTTGAGTTGGCAGCATAACCGAGGAATGACTTTTATGGACCTTTCAGTGAACAGGGGTTTTGTACAAGTTGGCGTACAATGCAGTCTATAATAAGGAAAGATGCAGCGGCCATCATCGCTTACTGCACACGATGGCCAAATACTTTGGTACGGTGCGGCCATTTGCACATAATGATATACTTCCTGCATGCTCATGTGTGCCAGTGATCATCCATGTTGGAAAAGCACGTGTTTGGGCATGCAAGCAACCTTCAATGATTTTTTTTGGCTTGCGCTCATGCTCTGTGCAGGGCGTGGAAGTACGACAATGCTGTCATGGAGTATTTCGTTGAAGATGAATGTAAGAGTCTGCTCAAGAAGTCTGAACTCCTTAGGGAGGTCGAAACCACTGAGAAAGACGCAAGGGTCCCAGCATCTAATCAGTATCTCAAAAACATTTGACTTTTGTTCTTCCGTGGCAACCCCCAACAAAAACACACCAAGTGCGTATAAGGACAAAGTCTCTGGTGAAGCTCCAGACACGAACGGCTTGGCACTCGATTTGTGGGAGAGCAACCGTCCGGGCGATGGTGCCAGTGTAGAGGTTCTGGGTGCGAAGGCTATCTTGAACAAATTCAACCAACTTGCCCTTCCATCGAGCTCACCCCCCCGCACCTCCAAACACGTTTTGGCCTGGCAGGTCGCGCCAGATCTTGAGAAGTTCATGCAGACCATCAGGGACAAGATCAACAACATCGTGGACATGAAGGGTTGGCTGGAGTCTGGTAAGTCAGACGCTACGGGCCAATGCAATGTGCAAAGTCCTTATACCATATGTGCAAAAGTGTACCAACTTGAAACAATATATGGGAACATGTTGCACCTTCATCTTTTTTTTGTTTAGGTTGTCGCAGAACTTGGACAAGTGCAAGAAAACTCTTGACACTGCATACACATCTTTTGCCAAGCTGTTGACTGACTTCAAGATGGACAATCCAGACCCGAAGAGTGAGACGTTCAAAAAGTTACTTGATTGGAATGCAGTGTGCCGTGTGCCCCAAACAAGTTCCAACATGCGCACTCGGATTTCGATCGCTCGGTCCCAGTCCCAGGCTTCCAATATGGTGAACAGGTTTTGGCAAGGTCCTTTCCCCAGCATACCTATGGACACCAGTGATTTCAGGCCACCACCATCATGAAAACAATTTCAATTTGGACCGGAAACCAATAAACGCCGAAGCAACATCGTCTTCAAGCGCCTCGCCCCTCCAGCCAAGTGCCAACGAAGGTCCAGCCTTTGACAGTTCACCCAACTTGACAGTTATTTTGGAGAGTGGTACCCTGTTTGAATGATGTTGTGCGTGGGCTTTTCTATCCAAATGGAAGGTCTTCTTCTACACCAGTCCCATCCACCTGATAATCTGATACAGCAGTGAAGAATCGAAAGAGGGAACCTGCGCAAATACATGTTTGATTTGTTCAGCCCTCAACACCGTCAATCCCAGGCTGATTGCTGCCATTGAGAGCGAGAAAGCCAACGTCAAATCTCCGATCCTTGACCAGCTTGTGATCTGTGGTGGGGTTTGCTGTGGTGAGGTTCTTCCAAACCGACCCAAATCAAGTTCCATGTTCTTTGAACATGCCAACTCTAAGGTGTGTAGACCTCTTGACAATGGATGCTGAGTTCAAGCATCTTGCCTGGACCATCCCACTCTAGTGATTGCATGGACATGTGATGGTGTTGCCCCATCATTGGATTTCCTGCCTAAGGCAACTCAAAAAGGACGCTTCCAAGTGTAAGAAGAATTCGAAAGGAAACAAAGGCAAAGGCCGGTCTCCTAAGGAAGCCAAATCTAAGGAGGTCAAAGTGCCAAAAGAGACCGGTAGAAAGAGGGCTAAGGGACGTGGCACAAAAGCTGCCAAAGCCGAAGATGCTGTTGAGTCCGGGGCTGCGACTTCCAAGAAGAAGCCAAGGAAGGGCAGCAAAGCCTGAAAGGCAAATTCGCAGCTACTTTTTGATGTTTCTGTGCGGGATTACCTGCATATATAGAAGGGAGATGATGACACATTTAGAACATCTGTTGCTTTGATGGGGAAATTTCGCCCCGCTGGTCTTGCATGTGTGATCGACATGCCTTGGGAGAGTCAAAGCAAGAGCAAAAGGATTATGCGGCTGAAGTGCACCATTGGACACTGGGTTTGTGGGTTTCTTCCACCTCTACGTGCCAGGTCCCTCCAAGAAGGCTAAGCACTTGGCCTGGAAATATGGTCGTGGAGAAACTTGGCGCCATTGCGAAAGCATTGACCAAGCATGGTTTCAAAACATGATTCAAAACAGTTCTCAAGAGCTTTGATCAGTGTGGGTGGTCTTCGCATGAAAATATGTGACCTGCACAGTTTGCCCCTTGACTTGGTTCTTTCAATTCTTAAGGAACCATGCGCTGAGATTGTCAGATTCGCGAAAGCTGACATGAGTGACCGCTTTGCTGAAGAGCGAGCCAGCGGCGAAGATGGCTTTTGCTGCCCAGTCATCTCAGCTTTGCACAAAGTGTCAGAGAAAAACGCGGACACTTTGGCTGGATTTACTTTGGATAGTGTTTCAACCCTCTAGTTTTGGGAATCACCAAACAAGGTAGGGTGGGGGGAACACCTGTTGACTTTTGACATGTGAGAAAACAACCGCTTCAGGAAGAGGGCGTATCCCGGATTTTCAAGCAATATGGTATGGTTTACCCAGCGCCATTGAGCTTCAGTTGTGTGGCTGGCCAGACCAACTTTCCATGGATCCGCCCATCGCATCTCATCAAGACCTTGTACAGCACATGTGACATCCATATGCTACTTGGTGGCGCGCAAACTTTTGAAGAAGCAAAGCCGGCATTGGAGTTGTTCTGGTCTCGGTTTGCCAGCATCTATCCACAGCACGGTGTTTTTAGAAAAATCCGTGAATCACTGGGGAGAATTTCCACCTCTCACCTCTTACCAATTTTGGTTCACGGTGACGAGGGAACTACGTACAAGCGGAATGGCATGTTGGTGCTCCAATTCTCGGGGGCGCTTGGAAAGGGAACCAGGAAGACTAAGACCCCGGACTCATGGTACAAAGATCTGGCAACCTATGGCATTCCTATGAACCTTGTGAAGACAGCATTACAAACCAGATTGTTGACTTTTCTTTGTCCAAAGGACGGGGTTGGCACATAGTACTGTTTCGTGATATGGCTAAACCAAATAAAATAAGTGGGTTTGTATCTTTGGTGGGTTATTTATAGACCTCCAGCTATGTTACCTGATAGGAGATGTACTCGAGCGACCCCTCCGTTTTCAAACATATCATTGACATTGTGGTGGATGACTGGAAGCAGCTTGAGGATTCCGGCATTGAGATTCCTGCCTATGGCACTGTGTTTCCGATCGTTCTTGGCAACAAAGGCGACTGGAGTTACCTTGTTTCCTGGATCTGCTGTGTTATTGTGCTTCTTCCAACCGTCCTTTTAAACGGGCTTCAGAAATTTATCAACAGTGCCCTTTATATGTTCGAGTGTTTTGGGGTAGCTGCAAATCCAGGTTACATCGGCAAATTTGGAGAGGTCATACCGCCGAGCTCCCAAAGGTCGTGAACAAGCAAAGAAATACATGGACAACCCTCCTGGGATTTGTCACCTGTGTATGGGGGGAACCAAAGAAGGTGACTGGGAAGACCTGACGCTTAGTGCAGGAAGTATTACATTTTAACTTTTGGTGGCTTTGCAGACTTCAGTTTTGTCGCCCTTTACTCTGTTGATTGTTTGGATTTCTCCGATGTATCCGAGGATAGTTGCCAAAAGATTGATTAGGGCAGCGCGGACTTGCGGCACACCACCACCATGGGACGTTGAGCCCGCTTGGACACGGCTGCTGCATGACGAGAGCCCTGGAGGCGCGCAGCGTTTCCACAGGCCTGATGTCTGGCACACAGTGCACATGGGCATTGGCAAGGCATGGGTGGCCTCATCGGTGAAGTACGTACAATTTCTCACCGGTGAATCGAGCGTTGACAAGCGTGTGGCCGTTCTCAGCGATGACTACATGTCGTTCTGTGAGGAAAATTCCAAAGTGAAGTACCTCAAGAAGTTTGAGGCTCACACCTTCGGCCTCAAGGCCCCTGAACCCGCAGCATCGTGGAACAAAGCGCATCTGACGGCGACCCTGATGCAGTCGCTGCAAAGTTACCTTGAAAAGTTCAAGGACGCCTGTGATGCTGACCTTCGTCTTCGGTTTATTGCCGCTTCAAGCGTGGTTCTTGCACATTTTGTGTTTGCAATGTTTTGCTTTGTTGTTTTACTTTGCTTCGGGCCGGTGAGTGTGTTTGCACATTCTCCGGGAGAATTGAGGCTTCGGGTACAAAAGCCTTGAACTTCTTTATCAGCTCCTTGTTTGTGGAGGGCATTTGGATTGAGCGAAGCAAAGCACAAGAACTGATCAAAGCTGGAGAGCATTTCCTTCAAGCTTACCAGTTTTTTGGCGCACAAAGCCATTGAGGATGGCAAGCCTGCGTTCGCCATGTTTCCAAAAAGCCACATGTTTCAAGAACTTGTGGAGGAAATGGCTTACCAAATCGAGGTTTCTCCATACTGCTGGAACATTCTCGCTGATGCTTGCTTTCAGGAGGAGGACATGGTCGGACGGATCTCTGCGCTTACGCGCATGGTTTCTCCGCGGAACCAGGCCTTACGGGCACTTCAACGGTATTTAGCTCAAATTAACGTTTGCTGGAGCATGCGATGACGGCATGTTCACTGTTCAACTGCCAGACCGCTGCAGGGGAGGGCAGTGGAAAGTGTGTGTGGTTTGGGGTTGAGGTGCAGGGCAGGGTGGAGTGTGGATCGGTATACATAAGGAATTGCATGGAATTTATGGTGGTGTGACCGAACATGACGGACCCTTGGCAATGGACGATTTTTTCCGTAGGAACCCGTAGGATACGATGAACTCCGTTCAGAAAAGAAATTTGAAGGAAATCACCGTATAAGTGCTTATCCTGGACATAAGTTAAAACTTCAACTCGAATGGGGGTGCAGGTAGTATTAAGTATTATAAGCAAATTCATGCAAATTCCTTTTCAGGTCCATGATCGGCAAATCCAAGGACTTCAGCGTGTGAACTCGCCACAAAAGTCTCCTTGGTTTCGCCGCGTCCTTGCTCTTTGCAGTGACACAGAAGGGCTCTACCCCATCCATCTCGCAGCCAAGTTGGGCAAACCTCAGCTGGTGAAGTTGCTCTTGCAGGAGGGTGCCGAGAAAGAGACAGAAACCTCCAAAGGCAGGGTTGAGGAAGCCAGGAACATGTTTCATGCTGTTTCATGTAGAATTCTGTAGTTCCAGCTCCATTCAAATTCAATCCCTCATTGCTTTTATGTGACTGAAGACGAGATCCTGAGGTCGAAGCCCTTTGGAGGTAGCTCAGAAGGCGAAAGACCCTCGAAGCCGCATCCATGTGATCCACATTATACAGAGTATTATACAGGGCACCGAGATGCTTATCAAGCAGAAGTGGTTTGCCAGGGACTTGCTCGTTATGCAGCTGAACTCAGACCTCAGCCCTTCGA